GGGCCCTGGTGCAGCTTGCCAGTGTGCTCGGAGCGGAGTCGAACCTTCTGCAGCCCCACGTGTCGAGGGTGCTGCAGCTGACCCTGCGAGCGCAGGACCTCACGCTGGAGCAGAGCCAAGAGGCCTCCGGTCTTTTGCGGGACGCAAACCTGGCAGAGAGTGTCAAGCAGCGGCTGCGCACGGCCTTCGAGGAACGTCTCCGCTTGCCCACTGCCGGGAAGAGTCCTCGCCAGAACTGGTGCAGTCTCCCGCTCTACCTGCCTGCGCCTCTCGTTCGCAGCTTGGCGAGCGAGGATGGCATGTACGTGAAGCTGGATCTGCTGATGCAGTGGTTGCTCTCTTGCGGCCTTCGGACACCGACCGAACCTACCTTAGGTGTCGTCACCGTCTTAGTGAACTTGAGACAGAAACCAGCACTGCTGCACCCGCAGACGGCTTTCGACCTCTTCCTCAAGTGCAAAGCACGCGCGCGTTGCTACTTGGACAAAGCAGCCCCGTGGAACGCTGACGTCGTCCAGGAGCTCCCTGCAGACCCGCGCCTGCTGCCCTGCCCCAACTGCTTCTACACTGTGGCACCAAAGGAGATCATCATGCCCCCAATCTTCGCCGATTTCCTTCTGCTGCTAAACTCCTTGCCGCTGCGTTCCAACCACGCACTCCTGGTAGGGAAGAAGGCAGTCAAAGCCTCCAAGAGCTTCCTCTCCGCGCCAGCCGCGGCGCCGGCCAGCTTGCCGCTGGAACTGCAGTTGGCCCTGCCGCCGCCAGCAGTCCGAACGGTGTCCAACCCTGCCCCGGAGGAGGCTTGTCTTGCAGTCGCACTCCTGCCTTCGCAGAAAGCTGCAGACTGCCACGCTGCCTTGAGCGCCGACCTTGCCCAGGCCCCGGCAGGGGACCCGACCGGACACACTGCGGCCGCTGAACCGACGGCTGCCGCGGCTGCTCCTGAAGTGGCGCCGGAAAGTAGCGCAGCTGCTCCGGAACTTGCCGCCAAACTGGCGCCAAGACCCGCTGCCAAGCGGAGCTTGCTCGAGTGCGTTGAGGATCTGAAACTGGCACGAAAGCAACTTAAAAGCAAGGACTCCGGAGCGAAGCCGACCGAAGTGGTAGAGGAAAGCACTGCACCTGTGCTTCGCTGTCGCCAGAAATCGAGACCGGCAACGGCCAAGCCGAAGGCGGCACCGGCAGCGCACCAGACCAAGAAGAAAAACAAGCAGGACGGCTCTGCTGTCAAGCAGCCGGAGACGGACACGTCCAGCAAGGAGGCTGGACGCAAGAAACGTGCTGCGGAGGTGAGCCAGCCAGCGGGGTCCAAGCCCGCTGCGGCGGAGGCCTTGCCTGTGGAGCGCATACTGGCGGTGTACGCAGCCACGAAGAGCTACTTGGTTTCCGTGTCCGGCGGGAAGAAGCGGCTCTTGGTCTGTGTCGAGGCGAAAATGAACGAGAAGCACAAGGAATGGATCGGACGACTGCATGAGCAGGGCAACAAGAAGGTGGGAGGAGAGCACTCAGAGGTGAAGCAGTCTCTGCTGGACGGCCGGGCCCGGCTGCTGGCGAAGGCCCGCAAAGCGTGATGGGACGTAGTGCAAGCAGCGGCCACTGCACCTAGTGCTTCTCTGTGCTCCTGGCACATTGCGACTGTCCGCAGTAGCAAGCGAGACTGCACGTGCGCAGTGCTTCTCTTCCCAGCAGTCCCAGCTCCGAGTTTTTTACTTGCACGTGCCGAGAGGCATTAATTCGAAGAGGTGTTTTTTACTTGCACGTGGCCAGAGGCATTAATTGGAGGAGGCTCTCCAACAGCATGACTGCAACATCGTCGCAAAGTCTTTCCGGAAATGGGGCTCTCTCTTGGCCCGCAGAGGAACCGTAAGAACTGCGCGCCTTTTCTGCCGACACGAGAAACACCGAGGCCCTCTATCAGCTAAAACCTGACAGGCTCCAGATCTCGATCCTCAGGTCTGCAGCCTCAACCTCAGCCTCTCCAAGCCTGAAGCCGAAGTCCAAAGCCTAGCTCAGTTTCTGTCAAAAACTGTCCCTCTACCGGCAAGTCCTTCAGGCCAGGCAGGGCACTACAGCCACTGCCCGGGCCCGGAGTCCTTGAGGCCGGGTCAGGCACTACAGGCACTAACCCGCACTACGCCCTTCCAGCTGCCCAGAATCCTAGAGGGCCTCGAGCACTACACTCCTCCAGGGCTTGAGGGCCAGGTCCGCACTACACCGCACTACGTCCCCCCAGGGTCCCCAGTAGTGCCCCCGCTCTCGCCGCCCTTCTGGCTGAAATCCGGCCACCANNTCCAGCCCCTTCTCCAGCCGTGCCTGCCAAGCATGGCCAACGCAAACCCAAGCACTCAGGACAGGCTAGAGCTGCTTCATGAACTCTCTTTCCCTCCCCTTAGAAAAGTAAAGTGCTTCCGAGGAGACGCTGCTGAACGCTGAGCAAGCTGGCGAGGAAGCCGCTACCCAGTTCTTGGAGACCGCAGTGCTGGCGGCCGAAGCAGAGGGTCTGGAAGCTTCAGACGTGGCAAACCCAACCCCGGAGCTTAGCACTGGCAGCGCTGAGGCTCCTCCGCCGGAGACCACGCTGCTGGTGCAAAAGAACTGTTCCAAGTGCCAGCAGCGCTTCGCGCTGGACGACCTCTACAAAAAGAGTGTCAACCGGTACTTGTGCGGCAATTGTAATAAATTGTCGACTTACCTTTGCAGGTTGGACTTGCCAGAGAACTTCCGCCAGCTCAACAGCCAGCAGCTGTGTGAGTTCTACAACAACGTCTCCAAGATGACCACGCCGGATGGGAAGCTGAGCCTCCAGAAGGTGTCGACTCAGGTCAATTTGGTCTTAGAGACGTCGGTCCAAAGCAGCACGAGGTCCAGCCTCGGCTCCGACTACCTGCCCTTGTCGGTGTGGGCCTTCCAAGGATGGGACCCGAAGCTCGTTGAGCGGGCCGGGATCAAGAAGGAGGACCCCAAGCTGGGCACAGTCTACAAGATGGAGATCTTGAAAGAAACTGTGTCCGAGACGCAGTGCATCAAAAGAAAGGAAGGCACCACCGTCAACCTTCGCGCGAAGAAGACGAAGCGAAGCCGCACGACAGGGGACGAACCAGCGGTGGAGCTGGTGTCTTCGGACGAGGAAGACAACACGTCCAAGGAGGACAAGCAGGCCAAGAAGCTGCGCAAGTTGCAAGAGAAGCAGCAGCTGAAGACCTTTCAGAAGGACACGGCCACGGCTTCCAAAGCCGTGTCCGTGCTCAGCCCTTTGCTGCTGCAAGTCAGTGACGCCGGCAAGAAAGCCAAGGCCGAGGCCCTGCTTCTGGAGGCGAAAGAGTTCCTGGCCAGCGCGGCCTTGGACAAGACGCTCTCCTTCGAGCCAGCACACGTCGTGACCGAGGCAAACCTTTTGCGCGCCGAGGCAAAGCCAACGGCCGCGCCCAAGAAGCGAGCCAAGGGCAAGGCTAAGGCCAAGGCCCAGCCTGGCTTCGACTGAACCCACGCTGCGTCCGCGCGCTGGGTGTGCTAAGGGGGGGGATGAGAATGGGTCTTGTCTCCCTGCCTTCAGCTTGATGCCTGCGCAGTCTTGCCATACCATCGGCATTGCTCGCGGTGTCAAAGCACGAAGCAATTAACTGCATCCGAGCACTCTGGCGTGTCCTCATGAACACGCGCTTGTCAAGCTGCCAGAGCGGGAAAAGAAACTTTATGCCGTCGGGCCCTAAATACGCCCATGTATAAGGATTCTGTGAAGCCGAAGAATTGTATATATAGAAGCCACAAAACGAAGTTGCAACACAAACTCTTTCGCGACACTGACGATACCTTGACAGAGATAGGAAACACGCTGCTTGCACCGGCTCAAATGTTTGTGTATAGAGACTTTTGTACAGCTTGCCCTCACTGCGTAACTCAACATGCCATCCTTGTTCCGTGCTGCGAAGAAAGCCGCAGAGAGTGACCGGGTCCGCTTGTTTTACGGAAAGCCAGGAGAAGCCAGGTACGTGGAAAACATGACGCTGGGTCATGCATTCACGCTCCAAGCCAATGCCAAAATGGCCTCCACGCTGCTCGGGGAGAACGAGGACAAGAAGTACCGTCGTGTTGCGTCGCCAGGTCCGTCCGAGGAAGCGACGACTGTCTTCTGGGACCCGCCTGCAGCGGTCCGCGTGCCGTGCGCAGCGGTCGCGCAGACACAGCGGACCCCGGACAGTAAGCGACAGTGCACTCAGCTTTCGCCGCCTGCTGTGACGCCTGCCAAGAGCGCCTGCTCCAGTCTCCCGGCGACTCAGCCCCGCAGCCCCTGGGTCGAGAAGCTGAAGCTTCGTAAGGCTCTGAAAGGCCAGAAGTCCAAGCGCAAGCAAGGCCCCTGCTCCACGAAGGAGTAAGCAGCTGCAGCCTACTTTCAGCTGACGGTGCCAGGTCTGTCGCACAGATCAAGGTTCCTTGTAGATCTGTGTCTGCGGCATGCCCCGCAGGAACATGAGAGCTCGAAGCTGCCAGAAAAAGTCCTCTGGCCTTCATAACGCCAGTTACAAGATGAGCATGCTGTACTCTCTGAAAGCTGTCCGGGTTAGAGCACGAGTCGACTGCATTGTCTGCCCAGTCTATAGGCCATGTCCCTGTTATAAGAAGGGTCCAGTCTCAACTTGTCTGCTCGGTCACCTTCTGCTCAAATAGAGGACAGGACGTAGTGTGTCTTATGCGCAGGCATGGGCAAGCGCGCTGTCCTCAGCACCAAAGATGTGGCACAGGCCCTGAGGCGAGGCAGTACTTCCAAGGAACATGCTGCTGAAGCAGCCGGTTGCTTTCGTGCGACGCTGCGCAGAGCAGTGCAGCGACTCACGAGTCCGGAGACAACATTCCGAATAGTATCCTTCGGCGAAGACCGCATCGCCATGGCCAGCATTCCCAGACTGCTTCAGCGCCTCGCCGCCGAGACACCGTCGCTGGCCGAGGCACTGGCCGCGGCACAGCGGCAAGCTGGGCAGGACCCACTCAAGCTCGTGCTGTCTTTCGACGAGGCAACAGCAGGGAATGTACTGGCGCCGGACCCACAGAAAAAAAGCTGCATGATCTATGCAGCTGTGAAAGAGCTAGGTACCCAGTCAGCAGCACTGTGGGTGCCTGTCTGTGTCATTGGGGCGGACACCCTGAAAAAGCAACTGCAGGGAAGCCTTGGGCCTGTGTTGCGCCAGTTCCTTCACTTTGCTGCCGAAGACAAGCTGGAAGAGGGCTTCCTCATACAGCCACTCAGTAGCAGAGTAACTGTCAGGCTCCCTCTTCTTCTTTTTGATGTAGTTTTACAGGTTATCGTACCTCGGCCCTCGTCCCAAAAATGCTTCGGTCTTTCAGGGGCCTTTCATGCATGAAGCTCGAAGCCCAGGTGTTCCAGCAGCTTCTTTCTGCGACTAAAGCTTGCCGCCGTCATAGATGATGGAGAGGCAATTCGTCAGGCCTTGAACTGCAAAGGCGCCTCGGGCCTGAAACCGTGTCATGTCTGCAAAAACGTGCTCATGAAAAATCATCCGCTGGCTGCAGCAGTTGCCATGCACGGGTACGCCTGCGACATCTGCTCGGCTGAAGTGGAGAAGTGGGACCTCATCGCTGATGAGGAACTCTTCGAGTTCTGCGACTTGCAGCATGCACGTAAAGGCCAGATCCCTGCGAGTCTCTTTGCAGAGGAGGAAACCCTGAGCGGCATGGTGTACAATCCCGATGGCCTCTTGCAAGATGACTTTGCCAGGCCAGCTCCATTTTGGGCCCTTGAATGCGAGCCAAGAGGTTAGAAAGATTATATAGAGGTTGCCGTCTCTTGATGCTGTGGTTTACTAGGCCCTTGACTCTAAACCATGTTCTGCCAGAGACACTTTCCGATTGATGTCTGCAGGAGACAGATCCCGCCGAGCAAGTGGCTCTTCGACTTCCTGCATATCTACTACACGGCCGGAGGGTGTGCAGCAGTCGAGATTGCCGCCATCCTGCACGAGGCCGAGCGAGTGCTGCAGCAACCTGCAGACTCCTTGGCATCGTTGCTGGAGGAGTTGCCATGGCAAGTGCCAAGCCACGTGCTTGGATTGTCTGGCCCTCGTTCCAGAGCAAGACTCCTGCACGCAGCAAGGCTGCCTGAGAAGTCCTACAAAGGAAAAGCAACTCACGTCATGCAGCTGCTGCCACTAATCCCTGCTCTGTTGGAACTCTTGGACGACTGCGACGAGCTCGCAAAGCCTTTAGCTAGCTTCGAAGCCTTGCAGAAGATTCACTTGGAAATCAACAACCTCAAACGACAGGAAGCTATCTCGGACACAACGAGACTGCAGCAGCTCCAGCGGGAGCACCATGGTCTGGTCCTCGCTGCCTACGGTGACGGGATACTGAAGCCAAAACACCACTGGCGACATCATGCGGCCACACAGCTAGAAGCCTGGGGCGCCTACATCGATACAAGCGCTTGCGAGGCCAAACATCAAGTCTACAAAAACGTTGCAAACAAGAACTTGGATGTCTGGGTCTGCGGGCCACGCTGGTCCAAGGCCGTGCTGGACCGCATGTTCTGCTCCTGCTTCCAGCAGTTGCAGCTGCATTTCGACCGCCGTGCGCAGATATGCCGCGGAAAAGAACAGAAGGTCCAATGGGGCCAACAGACCCTCAGGACCTTCAAAGAAGTCCAGTGGCAAGGTTTACACTGGAAGCCGGGGGACTTCCAGCTCGAACCTTTCCCGGGAATGGTTGCGCGCTGCTGTGTGAGCTCTGCTGACAAGCCGTTCCTGCTGCTGCAGGAATACATCATGGAGCATAAAACTCGATTCAGTGCCGTCTTTCGCAATACAGGAAGGGTGCGACTGCTACAGGCCATAGGTCGCTCCAAACTTGCTTCCTGGTGGCTCATCGAAGACAATGGTCTTTTGCGAGCTTTGCGGTAGAAAAAGCCAAGACCGACTGCGAACTGACAGCTCCCATACTGCTTTCTGTGAATTCCTTGTCCTCAAACTTTTCAAAAACACTATTATTCCTGGAAACAGATAAAAAAAGATA